TCTCTCTCTCTCTCTCTCTCTCTCTCTCTCTCTCTCTCTCTCTCTCTCTCCCTCTCTCTCCCTCCCTCTCTCCCTCTCTCTCTGTCTCCGAGCGCTTCGTCTCTCTTCGGATGTCTGACTGACGGAGAAACATCTTGTTTGAAGAGGCTGAAAGTCATTAATGATGGAGAGAATTGCTAATGAGCGACGCGTGAGCTGCTGGATTATTAATGAACGCGCTGGATTACGCGCGTCAGGACGCGTCACGATCCATCAACGCGTTCACCATTAGAACAGCTGGAGCTCAACGGGTACTGCTCTTTTACTGCACTATTACTACACTCATGATTACCACACAAACTCTATCAGGCACCAACGCGGAGTAGCATGGTTTTTCTATCATTTTATTGTGGTACCAATATATATAGGAGCTATAATAAATGTATTTATATATATATATTTTCATGAACCTAAAAGGTTAACGTTTTATTGAAATCAATATATATATATATATACTGTATATATAGAGCCACATAGTTATACCATACTTTCATATGTATTATTACTGTATACATGTAACACTGTGGTAACTTTTGGTAACACACCAGGGTAACATTTCCACATACGGGTTATGTAACACTTCATTTTACAGTGTCCTTGTTACACGTTACATGCTTACTATAGTAATAACACTAAATTATGCATAAATATATGCAACTAGCCCTAAAGTACATGTTGTTAATTAATATTACTCAGTACTTAAATATGTAATCATACTGTAACAAGAAAACAAGGTATTTCCTGTTAATAACTCCTGTAATATCTCACAAACCTCTCGTTACTCGTTCCCACACACGCTTGAACGCAGCAGCTGCAGTCACTGACGCATTTAACAGCTCCAGCGCTCCAGGGGTCAGCAGGTCGGGTCAAAGGTCAGCTGAGGTCACAACACACAACAGGAGTTTGAACTTGAGTGACATCTGACGACATGCACAGGTGTGTGTGTGTGTGTGTGTGTGTGTGTGTGTGTGTGTGCAGGTGCAGCGCTGCAGTCAGTCTTCAGTATGAGAGCGGCTCTGAACATCAGGTGAGGAACATTGTGTTTTCACATTTAGCAAATTCAAATAAATGCTGTTCTTTTGAACTTTCTATTTATCTGTGAATCCTGAAAAATAAAATGTCTTACGTTTCCACAAAAATATTGTGCAGCACAACTGTGTTCAGCATTGATGATAATCAGAAATGTTTCTCGATCAGCATATTAGAATGATTTCTGAAGATCATGTGACACTGAAGACTGGAGTAATGATGCTGAAAATACAGCTGCACATCACAGAAATACATTACAGTTTAACAGATATTCACATAGAAAACAGCTGTTTTAAATTGTAATAATATTGCACAATTTATACTGTATTTATGATCAAATAAATGCAGCCTTGCTGAGCAGAAGAGACTTTATCTGCATTAAAGACTCTTGTAATTTTGTGTTTTTAGTGTTGCTGTGGTTCTGTTGCCGATCTTCATGTGTCATCAGACAACAAGGCAGGTAAGACTAATATAAAGGGAAAACACTTTATCATTTTTAAAAAATATATTTTTCTATAGTTGAAACAAGTGCCCATAATTGCATCTGTACATCACTGGCCGATGGCAGGCAAATTACTGATACAATGTTTGGCTTGAATTTTATTTAATGAATTTAATTCATTCTGTCCCTCTTATTTTTCATTTTGCTGGTTTACTGTGAGGAATATTCCACGTAATATTCATCAGAACTCAAAGTGTCACAAATCAGAACTCAAAACCACATGGATTTCTGTAGAAAAAAAAAAAAAAAGAAGCATCTCCAGAAAGGAAAACGTGCTGTTGTCCATGAGTGTCGTCTCATTCCTGTCATAGTGAGAGTGATGACATGTGCTCCAGCTGTCTGACCTCTCGCTGACCCTGAGAATGAGTTTTAGGGTCCGGCTGAGTGAGGTCATGCCCTCTGCCCTCTGATTGGCCATCAGCTGTTTGATTGACAGTGCTCTGGCTCATTATCAAAATGCATGTCATTTTGTTTCCTCTTTATGTACATGATGTGCTGCCATACGTGCTCAGATCCGGTCTGATCCACAGCAGACTGGTTCTGAAGGCACGCCGTCGAGGTCGTGGAGCTCCTGGGGTTCGTGGGGCGAGTGTTCGCGCTCCTGCGGCGGAGGAGTTCAGGAACAGAACAGAGTCTGTCTGCCACACTATCCAGCAGTCCGTGATGCATTAGCAGCACCGCAGAGCCCCGCGGCACAGAACACGGCCTCAAACACGCCTAACCAGAGACGCCTGAGCGTCGGCAGATACGGATGGAGGTATGGCATCATCTTCATCAGACAGACCAGTGATTCTCACACTCTTTCATAAGCCGAACCATTAGACAGAAATATTTACTTGAAGTCCACCTGAGGTTAATATTTCAATAATTTATCAACACATTCACATGTTCACGGTTCTCTGATGTCAGTTAACGGTCACATGATATGCAGCTAAACAAATGAAATATTTCTTTTTTTTTTTATAGTAAATGTCTTATTTTAATTGTTTTTATTTTGCAAAAAATAAAAAAAAAATATATATATACTGGTGGTTAAAAGTTTAGAATAGTTCAGATTTTTTAAGTTTTTAAAAGAAGTCATTTATCATTTATTTGATCAATCATTTATATAATTTATTCAAAAGAAATAATTTATTTGATCAAAATACAGTAAAAATTGTGAAATATTATTACAATTTAAACAGCTGTTTTCTATGTGAATATCTGTTAAACTGTAATTTATTGCTGTGATCAAAGCTGTATTTTCAGCATCATTACTCCAGTCTTCAGTGTCACATGATCTTCAGAAATCATTCTAATATGCTGATTTGCTGCTCAAGAAACATTTCTGATTATTATCAATGTTGAATATTTAGTGAATATATAAACATTTGTCTTAAATTCATCACTTTCAAATGTTCGAACCTTTGAGCTTTTCACATATCACATCCTCAACTTTTATTTTGTGTGAATGTTGGTGCGAATATGAATGTAAATAAAGTGAATCTAGCGCATTTACTGTACAGTAAACCAAGCTGCTCTGAAAACACGTATATAAATGAACACAGTGCCGCTCTTCACTCTGAAACACGTATATACTTCTATAAATTGCAACCTTGATTTGGTAATCATGATTTAATAAGACATATCACTAATTCAGGTTTATTTTAATTAATTGTGCATCCCCATTTGTTTATTTTAATGTTACATTTCATTTAATAAAATTTTAGCTTTTCATCGACTCAAAAAACTCAATTTGGAAAACCCTAAGTTAGCCTATAACATATTGAGGATCAATTGCTTGACTTCATCACATCCACTGGAGCAACATGAGGTGATTAACATCAGTTTACAAAATAATTACTAAAGTTATTTTCTCTATATTTTCTAGAGCGAACAGTAGCCGCATCAGTCCAGGGACGTACGGATACGGCAGGATGCCATATGTAACGTCTCTACAGAAAGAATCCAGCCGAACGTCCCACAAACAGAGACGTTCAGCATCAAACTTCCCACACCAGAGTTACAGGACTCATCAGAGAAACCCGTATCAAAACACCCGCTATCACACAGCCGCCCAGCCGCCCACTGCTGCCCAACACACCCAACCACAGATGAACACAGCGGCAGTGCAGAGCAGACCGTACAACCCGCTACCAAACACCTCCTGCCCTGGAGCCCCGAACCGGCACAAGATCTGCAACAGCATGGTAACATCTGCAGAGAAACTCCTCTGGTTATACCTAAATATGCATTATACATCTGTTTATAACAGTTCATTCCGGTAACACTTTAGACATTCTACTAACTATAAGTAACTTTTCAACTACATGTCATCTAGCAGTCATTAGAATATTAGTAGTCTGTCTGCTTAATATCTACTAACACTTTATTTTGATGGACATTCAACTGACTATAAGTGAATTTGCAACTACGTGTCAACTTATTCTACTAACCCTAACCTTAACCTAATAGTCTACTTATACTCTAATGAGAGTTATTTGACATGTAGTTGCAAATTAATGAGAATTTTTTGACATGTAGTTGCAAATTAGTGACAGTTAATTGACATGTAGTTGCAAATTAATGAGATTTTGTTGACATGTAGTTGCAAATTATTGAGACTTTGTTGACATGTAAGTTGCAAAGTAATGAGTTAGTTGACATGTAGTTGCAAATTAATGAGATTTTGTTGACATGTAGTTGCAAATTATTGAGACTTTGTTGACATGTAAGTTGCAAAGTAATGAGTTAGTTGACATGTAGTTGCAAATTAATGAGATTTTGTTGACATGTAGTTGCAAATTAATGAGCGTTAATTGACATGTAGTTGCAAATTAATGAGAATTTGTTGACGTAGTTGCAGATTAATGAGTTAGTTGACATGTAGTTGCAAATTAATGAGAATTTGTTGACATGTAAGTTGCAAAGTAATGAGTTAGTTGACATGTAGTTGCAAATTAATGAGAATTTGTTGACATGTAAGTTGCAAAGTAATGAGTTAGTTGACATGTAGTTGCAAATTAATGATAGTTGACTTGTAGTTACAAATGAATTAGAGTTTGTTGACATGTAGTTGCAAATGTATGATAATTTATTGACATATAGGTGCAAATTAATGAGTTGACATAGTTGCAAATTATTGAGAATTTGTTGTCATGTAAGTTGCAAAGTAATGAGTTAGTTGACATGTAGTTACAAATTAATGAGTTAGTTGACGTAGTTACAAACGAATGAGAGTTTGTTGACATGTAGTTGCAAATAATTGAGAATTTGTTGACGTAGTTAAAAATGAATGAGAATTTGTTGACATTTAAGTTGCAAAGTAATTAGTTAGTTGACATGTATTTGCAAATTAATGATAGTTGACATGTATTTACAAATGAATGAGAGTTTGTTGACGTAGTTACAAATGAATGAGAATTTATTGAAATGTAGGTGCAAATGAATGAGTTAGTTGACATGTAGTTGCAAATTATTGAGACTTTGTTGACATGTAAGTTGCAAAGTAATGAGTTAGTTGACATGTAGTTACAAATTAATGAGCGTTAATTGACATGTAGTTGCAAATTAATGAGAGTTAATTGACATGTAGTTGCAAATTAATGAGCGTTAATTGACATGTAGTTGCAAATTAATGAGCGTTAATTGACATGTAGTTGCAAATTAATGAGCGTTAATTGACATGTAGTTGCAAATTAATGAGCGTTAATTGACATGTAGTTGCAAATTAATGAGAATTTGTTGACGTAGTTGCAGATTAATGAGTTAGTTGACATGTAGTTGCAAATTAATGAGAATTTGTTGACATGTAAGTTGCAAAGTAATGAGTTAGTTGACATGTAGTTACAAATTAATGAGTTAGTTGACGTAGTTACAAATGAATGAGAGTTTGTTGACATGTAGTTGCAAATAATTGAGAATTTGTTGACAGTTAAAAATTAATGAGAATTTGTTGACATGTACTTGCAAATTAATGATAGTTGACATGTAGTTACAAATGAATGAGACTTTGTTAACGTAGTTGCAAATGAATGAGAATTTATTGAAATGTAGGTGCAAATTAAGGAGTTAGTTGACATGTAGTTGCAAATTATTGAGAATTTGTTGACATGTAAGTTGCAAAGTAATTAGTTAGTTGACATGTATTTGCAAATTAATGATAGTTGACATGTAGTTACAAATGAATGAGAGTTTGTTGACGTAGTTACAAATGAATGAGAATTTATTGAAATGTAGGTGCAAATTAAGGAGTTAGTTGACATGTAGTTGCAAATTATTGAGAATTTGTTGACATGTAAGTTGCAAAGTAATTAGTTAGTTGACATGTATTTGCAAATTAATGATAGTTGACATGTAGTTACAAATGAATGAGAGTTTGTTGACGTAGTTACAAATGAATGAGAATTTATTGAAATGTAGGTGCAAATTAAGGAGTTAGTTGACATGTAGTTGCAAATTATTGAGAATTTGTTGACGTAGTTAAAAATGTATGAGAATTTGTTGACATTTAAGTAGCAAAGTAATGAGTTAGTTAACATGTTGCAAATTAATGATAGTTGACATGTAGTTACAAATGAGTGAGTTTGTTGAGATGTAGTTGCAAATGAATGAGAATCTATTGACATGTATGTGCAAATTAATGAGTTAGTTGACATGTAGTTGCAAATTAACAAGAGCTATCTGACATGTAGTTGCAAAGTTACTTACTACTTACTATAATTAGTAGAATGTCTAATGTGGGCTATCAAAATAAAGTGTACCTAGAGTTGATTTCAATTAACTGATACAAAACTCTGATTCAGTCAAGTGTTTGTATCATCACCCACAGAAGTGCCATCACATGAGTCTCCATGAGGTATTTTACATTTAGTAAATGTTTATTTAAAATATATGTAATACAGTATATTGTTGTTTATCAATATGCATTGCTATATTGGTGCATATAAATGAGAATAGAGTAATATACAAGTATATTAAAAGTTGACACAATTTACTAAGGGTTTGCAAAGTTACTTACGTAGTTACAAATGAATGAGACTTTGTTGACATGTAGTTGCAAATTATTGAGAATTTGTTGACGTAGTTAAAAATGTATGAGAATTTGTTGACATTTAAGTAGCAAAGTAATGAGTTAGTTAACATGTTGCAAATTAATGATAGTTGACATGTAGTTACAAATGAGTGAGTTTGTTGAGATGTAGTTGCAAATGAATGAGAATCTATTGACATGTATGTGCAAATTAATGAGTTAGTTGACATGTAGTTGCAAATTATTGAATTTGTTGATATGTAAGTTGCAGAGTAATGAGTTGACATTTAGTTGCAAATTAATAAGTTAGTTGATGTAGTTACAAATGAATGAGAGTTTGTTGACATGTAGGTGCAAATTAATGAGAATTTATTGACATTTAGGTGCAAATGAATGAGAATTTGTTTACATGTAGTTGCAACTGAATGAGAGTTAGTTGACATGTAGTTGCAAATTAATGAGAATTTTGTTGACGTAGTTGCAAATTAATGAGAATTTATTGACATGTAGGCCTAGGTGCAAAGTAATGCAAATTTGTTGACATATAGTTGCAAATTAATGAGTTAGTTGACATGTAGTTGCAAAGTTAATTACAGTTAGTAGAATGTCTAAAGTGGACTATCAGAATAAAGTGTAACCTTAATATCTATTGACTTTTCACATAACATTTAACTGTTTAACATTATTATTACACCCAGGAAAAGGGCATTTTTAACCTTGAGCTTTTAAAGGGGTTTGCATCGCTTTGACTCATGAAATATTCACACACTTTTTACAGCAGCACAAACTTTCATGCGCTGTGTTTAGTTTCAGCACCTGAAGGAAACTGATGCTGTTTGAAAACACTGAAGAGATGCAAGATATACTCACAAAACTAAAAGCAGTGTGTGTTTATGAATTGACAGGCCTGTCCGTCACCCAGCAGACCAATCCGAGAGCTGCAGTGCTCCACGTTCAACACGCAGCCCTTCATGGGCCAATTCTACCAGTGGGAACCTTTTAATGACGGTGAGCAGATTCTCTCAGTTCATGACATGAATGAGCTTCTTCTGATGGAAAGAATTTAGAGATATTAAAGTTTCACAGGGATTCAAGACATTTCATACACTGTTTCTTCTTACAGTACCATTCAAAGGTTTGGGGTTGGTAATTTTAAAGTACATTTTACAATATATTAATGTAGAAAACAGATATATTCAATTGTAATAATATTTCACAATATTACTGTTTTTACTGTATTTTTGTTCAACCAAATAAATGCAGCCTTGATGAGTAGAAGAAACTTCTTTCAAAAACATTTTTAAAAATCTGACCAACCCCAGAACTTTTCCTGTCAGAAATCTGTTCTGTTACCCTGAGGAGAGAGAAACATCCTGAATGACACACACATATTTGTGTTGTTAATTAGCTCTAATGATCATGTTGTAATTAAAGTTACAGTCATATTTCAGTGAGTTCATTTGTGCTGCCGTGGATTTTCCCAGCATGTCGGATCCTGTGCAACAGTGAATGTTCTCCTCTGAACAGATCTGATTTATGAACTGTGAAACTGCGCCAGTGTTCAAATTCACTTATGTTTATGGTTTGTGTGGAATATTATTCTACCCGCAGGCGATAGATGAGCCAACAGTGGAGTCGTGCCAAAGTTTTGTCTTGATGACAAAACAGTTTCGTTTCAACACAGAGAATCAAATGAATTTTTCGGATTTATTCTGGTTTATTTCACCTTCATCACGTCTTTGATGTTTTCTTTTCAGGCGTCTGATTCTGTTCTCATCAGTAGTGCGTTAGTACTAGAGCTCATAGTGATTTTACCCTCATAACGCATTCGGGTCCATTTTGACCCAGAAGAGAGATTTGCAATAAAACTTTGCAAATGCTTTAAGACACTCAAAATATACGTCATTTATTTTTATGTATTTTTTTATTTTATTTTTTTTTAAATAAATTTGTATTTTTAAAGAGATTTTAAAACCCATTTTTAAAAAATGTTACACGTTTAATGTCCGGGTCATTTTGACCCAGGTGTGTATGGAGTACCATTAGTGTCAAAAATAATTTTTGTAAAATTATCTATGAAGTTATGTTAGGCTACGTCCACACGAAGCCAGAGCTTTCCGATCTTTTTTTTCACCTCGTCTCAAAAAATATCTGCGTCCACACGAAACCAATGTTGTATACATGCCAGACCAGTATGTGGCGCTATAATTCTGCCACAGAGATACACTAAAAATGGAGAAGAAAACTTGGACTATGCTAAACCTTGCGCGCGGTATACAAACGAACATGGAACAATGCATTTATTAATCTGTGTTAATGTTAGTTAATAAAAAGACAATCGTTCAGTGTTTGTTCATGTTTTTGTTGCTGTTACGTGACGTAGCGGTGTCTGACTAGGGGCGATCGTTTCAGAAAATATACGGATTCGCTGTCCACACGAAAACACAAGGGCAGCGTTTTCAGATTTATCCGCTCTGGGACCCGGTTTCAAAAAATATGGGTTTCACTCTCCCAAAATGTCGGTTTCGTGTGGACGAAACGCCTATATGATACAAAATGTATGCGTATACAACAAAACACGTCTCCGTGTGGACGGGGCCTAAGTCTCAAAAAAACTTGTCAGATATACTCAAATAGACTCAAAAACAAACTTTGTAAAATATATAAAGCATTTCCCCCATATCAGACTTTTGGGACTGAGTTTTGTTGATGAACAATGAATATGTACGTATTGACAAACCATTGAAGCATGAAAATGTATCACTTTTTTCATCTGAAGGTTTATGTAAGTAAAATTACTTTATTTTGTTTGGAAACTTTCCTAATAATAAGTATTATTTATATAGTTTCGATGGTGTTTTGTTTCAAAATGTAGGTTTCATATAGATTTATAGAGTTCTAAATTCACATAAATATAATTAAATTCCATTTGTTCCAATGGGGTTAATACTGGTAATTCTCCGATTATATGTTCTTATTTCATGCAATGATTTATTCAAATAAAATTTCTCATTTTGTGTGTGGTTCATGTGTAATTTGAAATATAAGAATTTCTACATTTTTAATTAATACAAAATGCAATAATTACATGGTAACATGAAAAAAAAAGTCATTTTTTCACATTCACTCATTAATGAGAAGTTGCAGATCAGATACACTATGGTTTTGGTGTAGTTGACTCCATCTCTTATGTGTTTGATCAGTTTCCAGCGAGCAGCGCTGTGAGCTCAACTGCCGCGCCGTCGGCTTCCGTTTCTACGTTCGTCAGGCGGACAGAGTCATCGACGGCACTCCGTGTGGACAGAACCAGACGTCTGTGTGTGTGGCGGGACAGTGTCAGGTAGGAATCGGGTGTTCATTGCACTATTATGCTTCCAGATGTAATTTTTTGACACGTTCTTAGACATTTATATACTAGACTGAATTAGATATGCAAAGTAAGTGTATTAATTAATGAGTAGCATGCTTCTGCTTCTGCACAGTGCATATAGTTTCATATGCAGCACAGTATTAAGTGTTGGAGCTGCAGTGCTCCAGTGGAGAGCAGTAGAGATCAATGGAGATGAAAACATCACACAGCTGTTATGCTCTTGTTGTTTCCTGTCATTTACAGTGACTCGAGCGCATGTCTGACAGCTCAAGGGATTGAATCTTGTGTCTCTGTGATTTGAGTTTCTAGTCCAGATCATTCACAGCCTCAAAGTATCAGCATCATACTGTAATATCCTTACTGTGATGTAAATATTGATATATTATTCAGCTTGAAATTTAAATTTCAAGTATTACAATGTTTGTTTTTATTAAATGCTGATTTTTATGGAAAACATGGTAACACTTTACAATAAGGTTTTATTTGTTAGGATGTTAGTTAACATGAACTTGCAATAAACAAAATGTCAAAATAATTTATTTATTGTAATAAATGTTAATTTCAACAATACATTTTGTAATACATTGTAATAATATTTATTTATTTATAATAAACAAACATTCATAAATATTAATAAATGCTTTAGGAAATATAGGTAACACTTTATTTTAAGGTGTCCTTGTTACACGTTACATGTATTTACTATTATAATAACAATTAATTATGCATAATTACATGCAAGTAACCCTAATTCTAATCCTAACCATATAGTAAGTATATGTAGTTAATTAATATTACTCAGTACTTAAATGCATAATTACACTGTAACAAGGACACCTTAAAATAAAGTGTAATCGAAATATATTTATCATCGTTAGTTCATGTTAACTAATGCATTTACTAATTAACTAGTTAACAAATGTGACTTTATTGTAAAGTGTTACCAAAAACAGGATGATTTTCATTATTGCATTACAGTAATGAGAATTTAGGGGGTAAATGTGCTGATTTGTCATAAAAAGTGTTTTATAAAATTAAAAGTTTTATTTCAACCAGTTGCCATGGCAACATTTCTCATTTTCATTTACTTCATGTACTAAAGTAACTAAAACTGAAATAAAAACGAATAAAAGCTACACAGACATAAAAAAACAATGACAAAAACACAAGAGAATGAATAAAACTTTAATATTAAAATTAAAACGGAAAATGTAAAAATAAAGTCTAATTAAAAATGTTATCAAAAATTTTAATAGTATCTCGATTTCTTCATGAAAACAGAATTTTAGTCATGTGCTGTCGATCATCTCTGTCATCCGTATTAAAGCTCTTCTCTTACAGATATATTGTTCTGCTATTTCATCTGATCTTCCGTTATCTGTTTTTCGGATAAGCGTTAATTACCCAGAGTTCAGAGCGGCGTGCCACATCCTGCATGTAAAGACTGTCAGATGCACAACAGTTGCCGGCTGTCTGAGCCGGAGGATCTTTTGTGTTTGTGAGTGAATTAGCCATGCTTTCAGCGCTCCGGAATCTGCCTGTCGTCCAGCTGTGCTTTTTTCAGACATGTCACTTCAACAAATCCAGCAGAAATAAGATGTAACACAGACGCCGCAATAACAAGCCGCGGTGCAGGCCAGGGCTGCACAAACGCCACTGTCTGCAAAGGTGAAATAATGCGGCGACGGCTCGATTCCACCTCTGTAGGTTGTTTTGTGGCGTTTCTCTCAGATGCTTTGAATTCTTCTGACAGCTGACGGAGATCAGTCGACAAATCCAGAGCTTTAAGATCTCTTCCTCGGATAACGAGGAGGATCTGTGACAGGATGAAGATTACACACAACAAATCCACTGCATTAGCCTTGACATTCAGATATGTTGGCTGGAACACTGTTTGGGTCGGATTTAGGGTGACTTTTCCAAAACTTGATTCAGTGAGCATTTGAAACTCAGCTAACATGATCATCAGTTTCTGTGTAAATATAAAAGAAACTTGATCACTGCATGAGAATGTTGTACTTTACATCTCACAATTCTGACTTTACATCTCACAATTCTGACTTTACATCTCGTAATTCTGACTTTACATCTCACAATTCTGACTTTACATCTCACAATTCTGACTTTACATCTCACAATTCTGACTTTACATCTCACAATTCTGACTTTACATCTCACAATTCTGACTTTACATCTCACAATTCTGACTTTATATCTCACAATTCTGACTTTACATGAGCTAATAATGACCAGTTGTATTTGTATTAACTAATGTTAACAAATATAAATAAGTACTATAACATATGTATTGCTCATTGTTAATTAATGCATTAAAAAGTGTTACCCTTTCATCATATGCCAAAATAAATTTGTTTTCTATTTTTAATGAGTTTAATGAATTTTTCAGCCGCTAAAACTTCACACAGAGATGAACAAACATGCAGCATGAAGCAGTGTAACTGCAGCTGTAGACGAGCCTGAGAGGGAATTTTACCGTTTCACACACTGAAGAAAAGAAAGAGCCTTTATGAAGGGAATCCCACTGAGCACTGAGCTGCGGCTGAATGCCAGAGGAGTGTGTGTGTCTGTGTGTGTGTGTGTCTTTACAGCTGGAGTTCCCAAACTTTTTTTGTCATTGGAACCCTGTGACCTAAATTTTTTGCTTGAAATACCCCTGATTTTTAAAGCAATGTTTACCTTTCAAAATATAATGATATGTAATGGCATTGCATTCACATTGAAGCTTATTTCTGCCATGGGACAAAAATATAAAAAAAGGCAAGTACATTTTTGTCTGAAAATTATGACCTTTTTCTTGTAATTCCAAGTTTTTTTTCTCTGAATTCTGAGTTAACATTTAAAAAAAAAAAAATCTATATATTTTTTTAAATAAAAAATAATATTAATAAAAAAAGCCGTGGAATAAAAAATTTAAAAAGGTCATTTCAACTCGTTTCAACAAGTTTATCTCACACTGTTTATATATAAAGTTATATTTGCAAGTTTATATCTTGCAATTCTGACTTTGTTTTAGTATTAGTGTAGTTGTTTTAGTTCACTGTAAAACACCTTAAGGAGTTTTTGTTCATTTAGTTCATCACAGTTGCCCTATTTTTTAATTGAACTGCTACTGTAAATGAAGACTTTCTTTTTATTACTGCAGTATTTTTCTGTAAAGCTGCTTTGAAATTATGCACATCGTGAAAAGTGCTATATAAATAATATTGACTTGTTAATGAGTGCGATTGATGTCAGAGCTCCTGTAGTTCATGTCAGCAACAACACCAGAGTCACGGGTTTGATGCTCAGAGAATGCATGAACTTATATAATATACGCTTTTAATGCAATCTTTAGATAAAAGCATCTGGCAGATGCATTAATGTAAATGCGGTGAGTTACGGCTCTGAACACTGCTCTTGCTCTTGACAGCATTGGTGATGGAGCCTGTGCGCTGAATGAGCGTGAGCGAGATGAAATACTGCAGGGAATCCCACCAGAAAACACAACAACAGGACTTTCCAATGATAGCTCAAACTGAGCTCCCACTAACATATTTATAAAAGCAATAAAGGTGCAAATCTCATGTGCTTCACAGAGGGACATGAAAAGTAGCTTGGAAACATCATTTAAAATAATACCATGTTAATACCATGTTTTTGGAGTATGCATGTTTGCAAGGCAAATTTATTTTTATAGCACATTTTATACACCATAGTAGCAAGTAAAAAGTGCTTTAGGTGAAATGAAAATTTGCTTCTGAACACATCAAATATATTCAAATTTAAATCAGCTATCAATATCATATATTTCATGTAATCAATGGATTACAGAATTAGCTCTATTATTTACTTAGTATTATTAATTGCATTAAATAAACTTATTTTAATTACGAAAAACATAATATTAGTTTAATATTTACTGCTCAAAAATCATAAATCGATAATATAATCGATAATAAAATCATACAAGTCAGGATTTAATCTGTATCTGTCTCAAGTGCTGAAAAGACGGGAAATGTTATCTAAAATAAATGTAAAATGTAGCAATTGGTTTGATCTGAAGTGAAGGAACAGCTTTTTCAGCAGCTTCAGCGCCTCCTTTCACTAATATTTTGTTAAAACCAACTGAACTTGTCTCCACCTTTCTCCAACCCTAGTCTCTAGCGTGTTTGTGGCCGGTGACGTGAGATATCAGGAGGCTCTTCAAGAACTCTGAGTCTGTCTGCAGCTGCAAATATAATGCCATTTCAGCACGCTGTTAGTTCGACCCGTCAGCGCCTGCTGCTTGCATTGGGCTGGATTTACAGCCGTAGGTTCACATTAGAGTGAATGTAAAGACTGATGTTGGCAATCGCTCACACGCTCGCTCCTCTAGTCTCACACACTTCACTCATTATAACACTGGGAATCCAGTTTCAATCGTTAGAAATTAAAATTCTGCTGCAGCTGCAGGCAGTTCTGTTCAGATGATTCAGATGCCTTTGCCATGGTGGTGTTTTTCTGTGAGTTTCATAATCGTTGGTGAGGTTTACTAAGTGTGTTTTAATTGCATTGTTGTGTAGTTGCTAGAGTGTTGCCAGGAGGTTGCTATATGGTTGCTATGGTTTTCTGGATAGTTGCCAGGGTGTTGCTATGAGGTTGCTAGGGTGTTCTGGATAGTTGCCGGGGGGTTGCTATGTGGTTTCTGTGTTGTTCTGTGCGTTTGCCAGGGTGTTGCTACAGTATGTAGTTGCTAGGGTGATTGTCTGGCTGTTGCTATGAGGTTGCTAGGGTGTTCTTGGTGGCTGGCATGGTGTTGCTATGTGGTTGCTAGCGTGTTGTGGATGGTTTCCAGGTTGTTGCTATGTGGTTGTTACGGTGTTGTGGGTGATTGCCATAGTGTTGCTATGTGGTTGCTAGGCTGTTCGGGCTGGTTGCCAGGATGTTGCTATGTAGTTGCTAGTGTGTTCTGGTTGTTTCCATGGCGTTGC